TTTATTTATCTCTTTCTGTCTAAGCATTGGATATAGTTTTTTTTGTAGTTCTTTGCGGGCGATGCAGCCCTTGTAGCTTGCGGGATGATTGCCTCCACAGTTCACACAGACTACTTCTTTGATTTTATTTTTGATTGGACACTCGCTTGTTAGGTAATTCTTTGCACACTTAACGCACGCAGGGCTTTTAAAACAGTAATTTTTGGTGTGCCCATATTCCTGGCACCTTCTACATTGGGGGATATCTCTTTTTTTCCTTGGAGGTTCAAAATTGACCACTGTATTAAGTAGCCGGTTTATTTTTTAAATGTCCTTGTTATTTGAATTGTGTTATTTGAATTTGTTTTAATTTCTATGAAGAAAAGTGGCAACGGTTTTCGTGTAATATTTTGTATTATATTTGTGATCGATGTTACCTTGTGGTTATGGCTTTCAATTTCAGCACGCAGATCCTGAAGGTCAGCTGTCGGATGAATGCCTCTAAGTACCACTTTATAGGCTTTATCTTCTTTGGTTTGAAAAGTACAAAATTTTGTTTTCTTTTTTTTCAATTCTTCTACTACGGGAAGATATAACTCATTTGATTGAAGGTGGATTTTAACTTGATTATTAGATAGTACTTTAAGTGAAAATCGGTTATCCACAAGTTTTTCCAACGCAGTCTTGAGAGGGCCGATTTGTTCAACTCCACTCACGTATATTGGAGGAGCTTTGCTTAATCCTTTGGCTGAATCGCTTTTTTGTGCTGTAGTTTCTTCGTTGATATTCGCTGTGGTCGCTTCATTATTTACTGTGGTAGATGGGTTTTTATCAGCTAGCGGGCTAAAACGGTTGAATGTACTGGTAGTTGGAGAACTGCTTAGCCAGTAGTCCTTAAGCAGTACTTGTCTCTGTTTGGTATTTGTGATTTGTTCCGGGCTATTTCTATTTCTTTTTTTGGGTAGGAAAGTATTCCATTTGGAAGTACTAACCGGGTTGTGGGTGGCCATTTTCAGGACCAGGCGGCCTGAAGGCCCTTAACTATTCAAATATACCGCACTAAGATACTTTTAACAAAGCCGTTAGTAGTGACCGATTTACATCCGGCACACCAAGCACAACACGTCCGAACGGTACGGCTGTTGGTGCGGAACTGATCAAGTAGTGAAGAAGTAATTAGGCCTGCAAAACGTAGACGTATTATTGCGATATTTTCTGGAAATGACGATAGTGATCAAAATGTGAGTGATTTTGAATGGGAAGAAAAAAATGATCAACCTAAATTGCATGAATTTATATCTGTTAGTGGGGTAAATAATGATGTTACAAATTTTACTAGAGAAAACGTTTATGGATTATTTCTTGGACGGGAAATTCTTGAACACATTGTAACGGAAATTAATCGATTTGGTAAAATTTGGTAAAAACGATCCGAGTTTCACAGAAATTTCTGAAATAATTGAACAAAATAAACAAAAAATAAAAGCAGCAGCAACACAAGAAGTTATACCGTGTCCATCATTATCAAGATTTAATGTCCAACATTTTCAAATAGCGTTGAAACAACTTCATCACAGAAAGCTCGCAAACGTTGTGTAGTTTATTTATCACAAAAAAAAAAGAGAAAAGATTCATTTTATCAGTGCGATAATTGCCGTGTGGCTAAATGTATTGACCATTTCAAGTACTATCATACTGTACAAAACTATTAGATTTAATTTCTCAAATTATTTTCAATGTATGTATGTATTAACTTTATTGAACTAAATAAAATTATGAATTCTTTGTGTACGTGTATACTTGTGAACGCAAATGTACTTGTGTACATTTTGTTTTTCGTTTTTTATGCATTTTGAAATATTTCTATCTTTATAAATCTATAAAAAAAAAATTTTGATGATGCGGGCCAATATTCCACTTTTCCGAATGACGCACATCTTCGAGGGGCTTTGTGCCGCTTTCATTCGCTGACAATTCATCCGAGTGACACGTTAAGGAGATAATTTAAATACGAGTTTATGTTTTTAATACTAATTGATTTATGGTGTGCCGTGATATTTTTGCTGAAAATCTACGGAGAAGGGTCATGATAAAACAAGTATCGTGAAACATATCAAAATATCTTAAGAAGGAAGCTTCTCACTTCTCTGCGATCTTCAATCAATGCATGTGTTTGGAAATTAAGTTTTTCATCTTTCTTTCTGTGTGTGCAATGTTTTTGTTGACTTTTCTGTATAGCTTCTATTATTTTCTCATTTAGATTATTTATATCTATTGCGACCGAGTCTGTGTTACTCAATCTTTTGTCAATATCTCTTAATATTCGTCGATATTTTGGGGAATCAGTCTAAGTTTAGGGTAACGGGTAGGTATTCCTCCATAAACCCAACGGAGGATAGACCTACTTCAGGGACTTAGCGACCCTGCCCACGTGAGCTCTTGGTCTTCCCCCATCCCCTCCCACAGAGGGGGAAACCATGTCTTATCCTAAATTCCTTTCTACTTATATTTTATCCCTTCCCATATTCTACACCATCCTCACCAACCCGCCTAGCCAGCATGGTGAGCTAAGGTCAAATTTTAATGCTATTTTTATTGAATTTACTTAATACTATTTTTGCTGAATTGACCATTTACTTAAATTAAATTTGACTTTGTTTTTTTTAGCTATCCGTAGGACATTTTTAAATCTCTCATCTTTGTTTTAATTTCTCATCCTTTCTTATCTTTCCCATAAATGAACAAATTATCTTATGTATATATCACACCCTTTGCATCCTTGGAAGATCTGCTTAAATCTTTCGTGAAAAACTTCCGGAGCTGATTTTATACCACATGGCAGTGTAAGAAACTTGTATCAATCAAGTAGTGTTTCAAAAGTACACAATTTCGAGCTTTCCTTGTCTAGTATAACTTGATAAAACCCGCATGTTGCATCTAACGTGCTAAGAAACTCTGCTCTTGCTAAGTTAGTCTGCTACAATTCACGTCTTTTATGCGATGTAATTCGGGAGTCTCAGTGCACATGTTTAAACTGTGGTGTAATTTTATTTTTGAATTGACGTAGGATTTGTTATAATTTTATTTTGTGTCGTTTTCACGTTTTTCGCCGATCCAAGAGTCATCATCTGGCTCGCCATCACATGTATGCGTAATGCGCCTCGCTGTAAATATTATATATAATATGTTCCGTTGTATATATACTGCGGCAAACATGTCGTTGTTACATGTTTCATTGTAAATACTGCGTTAAATTAACACATTCGCTTCGGGGCGTTCGGGGCCGTGCTTGATCTGAGTAAGATGGAATTTCGCGATTATTAGTGATTCTTAACTTTTTTTATTTAGAAACTAAAAATCTGGCATTTTGCTTATAATACAGTGTTATCGCAAATAAACACAGTTCTACTGTCGACCGAAGTCAACAACTCAAATAACGTATATGTGCGCCAACCGAAGCGAATTTGTTGAATTATGTAAGCTTTGCAAAATTTTACATATTGAAGTATAATTAAGTATGATTAAGTTAGTAAAAGTTAAGTATAGTTAACACTTTACCGACCGGCCGTCGATTAATCGACGTTTTGTTCTCAGCGCTTATCGACCGGCCGTCGATTATTCCACAGCGCTTAACGACCGGTCGTCGATTAATCGACTTTTGTTTTTTCCGTTAGATTTGGTTAAGTTAGACTGACAAGTAGCAAGCAGCAAGCCGGTGTCTCGGATGATCTGCGGCTGAATGGCCGGTGAAAAGGGCATAGGATGTTCGAACCGCTACCGGTCGGTAAAGTGTTAAGTTAGTTAGTTAAGTATAATTAAGTTATGTAGTTAAATTTATGTAGAGACGATTCGATTGAGGGAGGATTCGCCGGGTGTGAGAAACAGAGTGGATTAGACCTACTGCTTGATCTGAGTAAGGGGGAATTTCGTGATTAATAGTGGTAAATTTTACGTATTGAAGTTAAGTATAGTTAAGTTAGTTAAAATTAAGTATAGTGAAATTAGTTAAGTATAGTTAAAGTTAAGTATAGTGAAATTAATTAGTTAAGTATAGTTAAGTTAGTTAATGTTAAGTATAGACGATCCGATTGAGAGAGAATTCGTCGGGTGTGAAAAACAGAGTGGTTTAGGCCTACTGCTTGATCTGAATATAGGGGAATTTCGGGATTATTTGTGATTCTTAATTTTTTTTTATTTAGAAACTAAAAATCTGACATTTTGCTTATAATATAATGTTATCGCAAATATACACAGTTTCAGTATCGACCGGAGTCAACAACTCAAATAACGCATATGAGCGCCATCTGAAGCGATTGTATTAAATTATGTAAGCTTTGCAATATTTTACGTATTGAAGTTAAGTATAATTAAGTTAGTTAAAGTTAAGTATAGTTAGTATTAAATTAGTTAGTTAAGTATAGTGAGCGCGAGCGTGGTGACAGCGCACCAGTCTACTATGTTTAGAGATCCCGAGTTCGATCCCCGGCAGAATCAGAAAAATTTTCATACGCTCGTAACTCCTCTTCGGTGGTTCGGCAAACCACCAAGAGTAGCCACATGCCAAAGAAAACTTCTCTCCAACTGTCGTTCGGCGTTAAACTGTAAGTCCCATATGTATATGTACAATCTTGCTGCGCACCACATGCATATGTAAAAGAAAAGTCGGTCCAGGCTCGAACTCGAGCTGTAGCGCCAAAATAGGAAATAGTTAAGTATAGTTAAGTTAATTAGTTTAATATAATTAAGTTAGTTAAAGTTAAGTATAGATCCGATTGAGGGAGGATTCGTCGCCTGTAAAAACAGAGTGGATTAGGCCTACTGGGGAAACCACTATAAAAAAAACGCACCATACTATCTACCGCAAGGTGGTGTGGAAATGATAGCAATTTCATTTTTCTGCTGAAAGGAAATCACGAGAAAACACAGGACATTTTTCTCCGGCGTGCAGTCCTGCATCATTTGAAGAAAGTCTGTAGAAAATTCGGATAAACTGTTGGGTCAATAAAATTGTAAACTTCTAGTAACGATTTCGCAGAACGATTTATTTTCATACAGACTCACTCCTTTTCTCCCGGAAAATATTCAGATTTAGGATTTCTATCATGTACATCGGGTATATATAGTGTTATACCAGAATATATTTGCATTACTCTGCTATTATGTAAAATAGACTCTGATCTATGTTGCGCTTCGTTCGTACTCTCGTAAAATTGAGTCCCCGAAAGTAACGTAGGCATGGCGACAGCAACGTGGTATGTTCTGTTTCGTGTGTTTGTACAACAGTTGTGATCGCGATTGCGCGTCCGTCGGTGTTTCTCTGACGAAACGTGATCGAAAGAGCATAATCGCGAGTATAGTCGTCGGTCCACATTCAAATCCCGCATTTAACAATAAACGCGGCGATAACATCCCGGGTCCGCAAATTGCATCTAGAATTATAACTATACACAGCATAGTTATAATTAATATTTATAATCTTATATATAGTTGTGCAACTATATTTTATATATAATTATAAAAAAGTTGTGTAACATCTCCAATTTTAATCGACCCTACTCAAGTCTTACCTATATATATATATATATATGACATATATATATATATATATATGTATGTATGTATGTATATAAGTAAATAAAAAGAATCAAATAGAATAAAAAAATAAAAATAATCAAATAGCTACCTTTATAATGCTAAATGCGGGATACGAGTGCGAACCGCAGTCCAAAAGTAGTAACGCCGAAACGTGGGAAGTGTGCACATGAGCAGCTGGCCGAGCTTTCGTTCGTCCGTGATACCAATTACGCTGCGTCTTAAACCGGCGAGTCCTTCGCGACGGATAAAAATAAAGAACGAATCGAGATATGTGATCAATACTTTCTCCCGTGTGTGCGTCGTGCACACGCAATCGTAAAGTATCGCGTGGAAGAATCATTCATGATGACGATAAAGCAGAATGCTTTATCTCTCTTTCTTTCTCCCACTCTCTTCCTCTACCTCTCTCGTGTAGCGTACGTATATATGTATGTACAAACGTGTCCGTTTCGTTCTCTACCAACATTAATCTTCGGCGTTACACGTGTATATATTTTACAATCTTACTTTTCTCGACTCGCGTCGACGAGTCATGTGCATTCGATTTATAGCCTTGTGGCGCGTCACGCGCCCTATTAAAAAAATTGCGCCTGCCCTCGTACGGAATGCTACTAAAACGTGGTTTGACATATTGCTACGTGATACATCGTCCGAGGCGTGTGAACGTGACGCGTGTTACCGAGATTAATCTCGAGAGGGAGATCGACCTCGACGGGAACTGGCGCGTCGGAGGATCGGAATACTATTATTTTTACGGTGCTGACGCGTTCACCGGCTATCCATTACCGCAACGTTCTAACACAATGTTCTGGAAGGATTTTCTCCATCTTTCGTCTCCCCCCTCTCTCTTCCTCTCTCTTTATTTCTTCCGCTGGCAGTATTCTAGAAGAAGCTGAAGAAGCTCTTCTTCTTCTCTTGCTGCTTGGTGGACCTCAGGAAGATCTTATCGATGTCCTTGAACACCTTGTCGGTGGCTTGCGCAGCGTTGACGTAGTGATGAATCCCTTGCAGAGCGTAATAGTCGACCAACGGCTGGGTCTGCGTGTGATATGTTACCAGGCGTTTTTTCAAAGCCTCCGCGTTGTCGTCCGACCTCTTGATCAAAGGTTCCCCGGTGATCTGAAGGCAAAAAAAAAAAGAGTCAGAAGATCGCACCTGAGTGTTGACCGAAAGATCATCGATCGCGCGCTTCGCGACTGGAATTTATGTAACTTGTACCGTTACGAAATCATAGGCGTCCTTTGCACACGCAGCCGTCGCTAATTACGATCGCGAGCTATCCTCGTCGCCGATACATTATCGAGGCGACACGAAGCGAGGGTCGACGCCGAACTTATCTTTTATCATTAATAATGCCTCGCGAAATGTCAATCGCCCGGGATATCGGGCGATCGAACTGTGCGAAACTTCTTCCTCATGAGACTTCATCTCCCGAATATTCCTGAATATCCCTCTCTCTCTCTCTCTCTCTCTCTCTCTCTCTCTCTCTCTCTCTCTCTGAGTCGATCCAACGTCTTTTACCACGATTTCACTCACATCGTCCTTCATGTGAACCTTGGGCGGCGCGAATTCTTCGTGGTAGGACCTGCCGCTGGCGGGATGTATCAGCCTGCCGGTGATCCTCTTGATCAACACGTTGTCGCCGATCCCGAACTCGATTACGGCGTCCAGCTTCGTTTTCCTCTTGCCGAGCATCTCGTCGAGCTGTGCGAGAGGAGGAAGCGGCTCGTGAGACAGTCCGGTTGGATGAGTGAGCTACTTACCGCCGACGGAACGCGCGAATCTTCCAACTTACTTTCTGCGCCTGAGCGACGTTCCTCGGGAAGCCGTCCAGCAGGAAGCCGCGCTTGCACTCTGGTTTCTCCAGATTGCTCTCGATCATGCTAACCACCAGGTCGTCGTGGACCAGCTTGCCCTCGTCCATCACTTTCTTGATCTCAGCGCCGAGGGACGAACCCGACTGTATCTCTGCTCGAAGCATATCGCCTGTAGACAGGTGGCACACGCAGTACCTGTCTTTAAACAGCGGGGCCTGGAACGAACGGAATTGGATTTAATCCTTGTCACGAGTCAATTATGGTGGAATATTTGATAGTAAAAATGATATAAATCTGAAGTATTTAAACTTCATGATAAAGGTGACATAGTTGCTTAATCTTTGGTATAACATTGTAACATTAATAAAGGGACTAATATTCGTTTTATTATAAAGAGGAAGAATTATATTTTCTCTGTGAGTATTTAATAGTAAAAATAGTCTGAATTTGGAATATTACAAGCCTCACGATAAAGATGACACAGTTGCTTGGTATGCCATTGTGGTATTAATAAGGAGATTAATATTTATTCTATTATATGTAAAAAGAAAGAAACATATTTTCTCCTAGTGTTCTTTGGAAGATCTCCAAGAGAGAATAAAAGTCATAAAAATTAAAGTCAGGTCCCCAATAGGTCCTGATGGTATTACCAAAAGTTCAAATTTAATGACTTTTTATCGCTTGTTCAAAATAATCTGCAGAAACATTGAAAATTTATAATGAAAGCCTTGAATCACTCAGTGAAGGTTGAAAGCCAACTATTGCAAAAATAGTCTTGGAGTTGACTTCTGAGATTTATTAATATGCATATCTATATGTCCCTCTTATGTATCTATATGCAGTATTTACTACATATCTATCATTAGTTACAGATTAGTGCAGCTACTGTCCAAAGTGGACCGAGTACTAATATTTCCTTTCCTCTCCAAAATTAATATTACATTTTCTCTCCACAATTATATCAAGAAGCTCTGCTTGAAACATTTGATATTTTATAATAGACCTATATCACACTTGTACAAAATTGGAAGATAAAATCATTTGTCTACTGTTCAATCACAAATTCTACAGTAGAGGCATACGAAAAGGAAACTCATCAAGCCTCCATAGCTCACTAGTTATATCTTATCTCCACTCCTAAACATTAACTTCTGTCACATAACTATCGGTATCTCTTATATGCAATTCGCATAGCGCTATCAACGCTACATACGACTGACTCTCATCATGATTACCCAATTCTATTTGATCAATCAATTTCACCTTATCTGACCAGTCACATCTGGAAGGAGGAAAACGGACGAGAAGGTGCGAAATTCGGATTAATTCACCAATTCGGGGTTACCAGGAACATCCGAGGATGACGATGAGAAATTCAGCGTGTGAGGAAACCGTACCTGAGTGCCCTTGCCGCTACCAGGTGGTCCCAGGAGCACGGCATTCACTCCTCTCGACGGTTTCTCCAGCTTCTCCTGCGGCACTACCTCCGGTCGCGGCGACATATTCGACGGGTCCGCTCAACGGTATTCAAGAACACTCGTACTTCTCTCCGCGAAGAAATGACTTCGCGATAGTCTCGTTACGATACCAGCGGCTACCAAGGTCGCGTAACACTGTGCCACCAGTACCACGAACAACAACCCGCGCATACACAAGTTGCCGCTGAAACAGCGCCTTCGAAGGCGCGCGTGTGTGCGTGTACGAAGTCAGCGGCGAATTACGGACTTTGACCGAACGACATTGGCGGCGCCTGACGACGACCTGCAGAAGCGGTCCTGCCGCTAAATTCAATTTAAAATATCGATTTAAAGTTCTGAGCACAATCGGTATTTCTTTATAAAAGACTATCTTTTTATTATTTCGCATAATTTAACTTATGATTAAAGAACTGGTTATATAAAAAACACACATACATGTTTTACATAATTAACTTGTATCTCGAATATCTTCATCTAATTTTCATTTGTTACCTTTTATATTTTAATGTTTTATTTAAATTAATTTTATAGGCCATTAGCTTTCGACTTATAAAATATATAATTAAAAATAAAAATTAACTCACCTAGTTCTGACTTCTCGGTACCATCCTAAAAATTATTTCTGTTAAAAAACGATAAACTTTCCCTTTATTCCTTGAAGGATCTTTAGGGAAGAATGAAAAAATGTAAGACGTCAAACTTTGCAAGAAGAATCGCTCGAAAACGAAAAAATTGGAAAGTAAAATCGGATCCCGATGGTGGCTTAACATTGTAACAAACGAACATTGCGTTTCCGTACCGACTCGCTTCTGTACTGATATACACGTTGCTGTTATAACGTTGAAAATAATTTATTGATCGGTACTCCGTATACAATTTATTACCCCAAAGAACTGCATGCAAATTACAACGTCAATTCGAACGTCAAGACAGGCAAATAATAATAAGAACGAAAATCGTTCGTCTCCGAGTAACGACGGATGAGGAGAGTGATGGGGAAACTGACAACACGAGGTCGCAGGCACATCTGTTTGCAATTCTCGCGTTTAATGTTCCCGTTTAATATTGCAGACTCGTACAAGTTTGACAACTGATTGTACATAAGGTTCGGACGAGTTTAACAAAATTCCTGTACACGCTTAGACATTACGGTCGATGCATTTTACAAATCGCGATTCTCACGTTCCTCCCTCTCCCTTACTCTTTCTGTCTATCTCGAGGACGAAGACGAAGATGCGTAATCCACAATTACACGCGACCGGCACACTCACATCATCACCGTCACCTCTCTTCTTTCTATCTTTCTCTCTCTCTTTCTCACCTTCTCTCCATCCGCTTTTTCGCTCGCTACCTTAACTGATCGTAACGGTAACGCAGAGAGAACAGACATAACAGACGCGTCCAAAGCAAAGATCGTCGTATAACTGAAGCTTGAGCAATTTTCATGTTGCGTCCTATATAAAAATATTCCTCTCGTACTTGAGATCCGAGTGATTCCCTCTCACGAGGACTGAAACGACGTACACACCGTCCCTACGATTGTACATAGTAATCGCGCGCGACAACGCAAAGGGAGAGTTCGGGGGGGGGGGGNGGGGGGGGGGGGGGGGGGGGAGGAGGTTATAAAAGGAAGCGTTTACCGTTTAAAGGGAAATCGAGAGAAAACGATATAAATCATAACAAAGAAGCGCATCTACGCCGCGATCCTCGATTAATTACGGTCGCTCGCTCGCTCGCTCGCCGGGAGAAATAATGATCGACGCTGTATAAGCGCGCAATGCAAATACAAACGATTTCGGCAGCCCCGTTTTATCACGTGTTATATGCAAAAATAGACTTTACTATTCACTCTCCTGCCGAGGAACGACGAAAGGAACCGTCCGCAAAGAAATTGAACGTCGGGCTCCCCGCGTGAGTCTCTTTTTCTCTGTCGAAAGATCGCACGCGTATCGATGTACGTGTATGTGTGTGTGCATTTGAGAGTGTGTATGTGTGCGATTAAACTGCTCGACACGCGCAGAGCTGTCGCACTCACGGAAAACTGCTTCTATTTGCCCCAATAGTCACGGTGGGAAGTAACATTCGCGGTGGTCGAGCTCTCTTTTCCATCTCTCTCTATCTTTCGCGATCGTATTATCGTCGTCCGGAAACGCGTTCGTCATGTATCCTTCAGCGAATCCTTCAGTTTAACAGCGATTATAATTATTGTCTATGTGTATGTATATATGTATAATATATATCTATATATATATTTATAGTTTCTACAAAACGCCTTCTCTCTCTCTCTCTCTCTCTCTCTCTCTCACTCTCTCATTTAGATATCACCATGACTTGGTCGCTCAGTCGCGATTTTACACAAAAAATTGCGAGGACGCTGCCTCTTCAACGAAGAGATCACACACACACTACATACACGCACGCACGCACACAGTTCCGCGGAGGTATTCGTGACACGATCGGATGTGACGAGCGGCGCCGACCGTTTTCCTCCGGGTTACCGATAATGTACAGCGGGATCGCGCAAAGGAAATCCACTTCGCGAGAAGGTTGAACCGCTCGCGTTTGCACTCGGGAAACGTTCCGCAACAATATCGCAATCTAAAAGGGACGCATTCCTTTCAACTGACTAACCGCTCGTTTGATTGAAATCTTACGGACAATATAAGGACGGCGTACAAATAGATGTGGATGCACGAAGGTACGTAGGTTCTAATTCTAAGCGTGACCAGGGAATATTCTAGAGAGATAAGAGCACCAACGCCTGGACGCATGCCTAATTCCGGATGTTCTTGTAATGTTAATCCATTCCGTTTTCCTGTTCCTGCCCGGGAAAAGAAGGATCATACATGAAATTTGCCCATACATGACTGTATAATCATATATGCCCACAATGAGAAAATACTGTTGTTTACAAATTATATGCAAATACAATCGAAATAAATGCTACTTGTGCTTTTGACAGCATGACATCCGCATTTAATTAAATAACAAAGCATCATTTTTTTTCGTATAGACATGTATGAGAATTTATATGACCACATATATGGCAAAATTCATATATGATTTTATGTAATTATATATAATCGTATATAATCATTTTTTCCCGGGTAAGAGACTTTTTGTGTAAGAACAGGAAATTTATCTATCTTGAACAATTTTTTTATGACAATGGTAAATTCTGACCTAGATCTTGTTACTGAAATATAGTTTGGACTATTGCCTTTCAGAAAATAACTTCACCTGGCCACCACCTATCACCCTCCCGGCGGTAGGTAGGAAGTGGAAAATAACCTTGCAAAACACACCTTTTCAATTTATTGCCTCGCCTTTTTAATTGATTAATTACAAATAGTGACGGGTGAAAATTGGAGATTGGAAAAACAATAATGAGGAATTGTCGCCAAAAGTTCAAATCGTCGAAAATGACGATTCCCGTTATATGATCCAGCAGATATACGTTCTATGTTGGAACTTTAAATATTTGTATCTAAAGAAACCAAAAGGATAAAAATGTTATATTGTCCTGAGTTAGGTACACGTCCATGCATTGGTACTTTGACCTTAGATATTTAACTGGCCATTATTTGAGACTTGCCACAAGTGAGATACTCGGATTCGAATTCAGAGATTAGATCACTGAATTTTACAGAATTAAATCGCGATTACAAATGTAACGTGACGCCACGCGTGTCAGATTCACATTGTGTCATATTATGCATAAGATTTGACCGAGAAACTCAACTCTGACTTGAAATGCAAATCCGGGAGTATCTCACTTGAAACAAGGTTCGAATAACGACGTCATTAACACGGACCTTTGGGAATTAAAAAGCACGATGCGACGGAAACGCAACGACTCGAAAGCGCAAGCTCTAGAAACGCGAGGCGCAGACAGTATTCTCTTCTCGATCAACAAAAGGACGAATCACCTCGTCTCTCGTATATATTGCGATCTCGTATATATAGCGTTCTCTGAACGTTTTAATCGTGCATAATATACAATTGCAAAGCTCTCATCGTGTGTCGCATCGCATTTACACAGTACGTCGATTGCTGTGAATCACCGGGCTGATGGATCTATCAACTGCTGGGAATCATAGCGATGAATGATGCTTTCTATTCAATAAATATTTCTATCTAATAAATATAAATATAAATATATATATATATATATGTCGTAAATATATATATATATATATATATATATATATATATATGTCGTAAATATATATATATATGTCGTAAATATATATATATATATATATATATATATATATGTCGTAAATATATATATATATATATATGTCGTAAATATATATATATATATGTATTTCGTGGAACCCTGTGTTCTTCTGTACAAATAATACGCGAGCTATATAAATTACCGAAGAACGAGACTCATGTAGGCTGTAGTTACTTTAAAACGAACAAAAATTAAAAAAACGCGGCAAAATCGTGCTCTTATATATACACACACAACACATACACACACGTTAGATCCGTTCCTTTCAGCTGAACTAACGCTGCACTCTGGAACCTCGTTCTTTTTCTTTTCAATGCTACGTTATACAGAGTTTTCCAGCAAGAGACATAATTGACATAGTGAAACACAGTGTTGTTGCTGCAAATACTTCCCTACAACAAGTCAAAGCAGCTGCAATGCAGAGTCGAACATTTGTGTATCACGGTTGCCTTTTAATAATTTTTATGTAATTTTTACATTTGCAGCATTACAAATATACCGAAGAACTGTTTTCTCTCTTTGTGCTATTTTGTGGCGATTCTTCACTCATCAAGCGTCCATGCACACTGCGTTCAATTGTGTTTCCTTGCTGGAAAGCAGCTATTCATTAGTCTGTTCTTTTTAGCTGAACCGGCTGCGCTATTCAAGAAATTAACATACACGTTGAAACATACGTGGCGCACATACGAGACTCTCACACGCTTCGATATGCGCAAATTTCTTCACCTGGCGCAGCCAATTCAGCCTAAAAAAACAAATCATTCGCTTCGTTTTAATGACAAAAAATGCAACCTGGCTCAGCCAGAGAACAGACCTCTACGGAGTGGACTTAATCAGCGCGCAAAACACGGAGGAGGGAAGGTCAAAATAGCGATTACGAAATTCCCTTAAATTATGTTATCCGTATTCGTACAAACGTTTCAGTACAAACGGTACTATTATACACCTTACGCTCGTTTATCAGAGACTTATGAAATTGGTGGGTTACGAAATCTGCTAAAACTCAGATCGCTCGTTACATTAGGGTCCTAAGGTATTTTAGGTGTTTAAAGTTTATCATAGTCGGATATTGCATGTTACTTGGTGTTAACTGTTAAAAGCTTCTAGAACATCTGTGTACACGCGCTCTCCTCATATATGACTCCCCGATCTCCCCTCGTCGCCCTCTCCTCCTCCTCCTCCTCTTCTTCTGCCCACCACATCGTCCTTTCAAAAACGGTTCATATATATATATCGTCAGCTTCGCATCGATTATACAGAACTTGTTTGGTCGCAACGACTCGTCAACAATATACCTAACTTCCTAAAAATGGCGAATATATTAATTAAACATTTTCTCTCTTTTTCCGTATATGCTTACGGCCACCAATCCGCGTAGAAGCGTCGCTCTAACATTGTATCACACATCCCTCCTCCTCCATTCGAAGGCTCGAACAGCCGTCCCCGATAACTCACGAAAATCCTATAAGTTCAACCCCCCCCCCTCCCACACCAAGAAGCGACACCGCGACCCTCGGAACGAAACACTTAACGACGCTCTTGAAAGCCCGCAACTGCGCTAAATTGTACTATTTGATTGACCGAGACGCATCTAACACTATCTAAGAGGACTTTAAGCCAACGTATGATGACGATACGCAGTAACCGATGCAGTCGACGATCGCGCCCACTCACTAATTCGTGGCATCGCGCGAAGAGAGAAAGCGTCTCTCTTTCTTCGCGCCAGAGAAAATCGCCACGCGCGTCGTCGTGGGTAGAATGCAATGGACGAAAGTGCGTCTCCTAACATCAACTTTGGAATATTCGTGTACAGCCGATATTTGATTACCCAAGTCGCAAGTAAAAACTACCATTTACAGGCTACGCTCGCTCGCAGCTTCTTCTTCTCACGCAGACGCGTGAGCGAACCGCTGAAATAACCGAACTGGGGGGGGGGGG